TTCAAGAAATTCTTTCTTTGACATGTTTATCTATATGTTTATAAACTTCTCTCAAAATTTTACTATTTTTGGAGTTGATTTACTATGCCCAATTGGTTTTACAAAATCGTGTATGTCAGCAGATTTTTAGAAACTGTATATCTGTGTTCAAACATTTATTTCTCTCAAATGAGAAATTATTTTTCATAAATTCTTTCTCTAACATGTTCATATACATGTTTAGAACCTTTCCACAAAATTTCATGATTTTTGGAATTAATTTACTATTTTTAATTGATTTTATAAAGTCAGATACGTAAATTTCCAGAATGCTGGAATTTGGGGTATTTTGGTCTTTTCAGCCTCTAACGGCTACTAACGGCTAGTTTTTGATATTTTCGGTTTTTGGGGGTTTGTGGCTGGTTTAAGAGGCTATAAAAAGCCCTCAAATTTCATTGTTTCTTATGGATGTTTAAGAGAGTTTTAAAAAGAGTTTTACAAGTTTGTTGAAGGGTTTTTAAGTTTGTTTCAAGAGTTTGTTTGTGAAGAAAATTCCACAAGAGCTTGAGGAGATCATCTATTGGAGTTTGAGCAATCAACTATTCTTCCTCCATCTCTTGTTATCTATTGAGAAGTTTTCTAAACTCTTTTCTAGCTTTATATTTATTTGTTTGATTATCATCTTATTAAAGCTAGTTTCATATTGAGTTTAGATTTGATTAATCTCATTGTTACACACACCCACTTGAGCTTATTGTATTTGCATTAATAATATATTTGGGGTTGTGAGAGATAGTAACATTGAGTTGAGCCTAATTGAGTTCTCATCAATATTAGAGAACAATCATTTGTTGTATTGCTACATTGTGAGAGTGTAAGGTTTTCGGTGAGCTAGAAAACCGAGTGTGTTGTGAAGTTTTCGGTGAACTAGAAAACCGAGTGTGAGGAGTGAACGTTGTTCGGTGAGCGTTGAAAACCGACACTGTGAGGTGTAAACGTTGTTCGGGTGAGCGTAGAAAACCCGGTTGTGATAGTGGATTTCTCCCCGGGAGTGGGGAGCGGAGACGTAGGACGGAAGGTCCGAACTCCGTGATCATATTGCTTGTTTGAGTTTGTCTTTGGCATATTTGTTTTTGCATTTATCTTATATCGCCAATTGTGCATTACTCATTTATTTCATCCACTATCTTGTTTAGATTATTTACCCTTGTGTTGTTTATATATCCTTGCATACATCTCTATCATATAGTATACCTCTTTGCTAGGATATATCACCTTGTGTATATTGCATATTCTTGCACATAACTCTTTGTATATCTATCTTGTAAGAATATATTTATTAATTAATTTTAGTTGGCATTTAATCAGATTAGATTAGCATAAGACCCTAATCACCCCCCTCTAGGGTCTAACACCTCTAAGTATTGACCTAGCACGTGTCACCTTCCTCAAGTGCTTAGATTTGAAGCCTCTCACTAGATTTTACTATCAACACCACTCCTCTTGGAATTGACCCCGTCTCTCACCAACCACTCCTCTTGGTGTCCTTGTCTATTACAATGTGATCTCACGATCATTAAGCACAAATACAAAGTTTTTGTTCTCTATCAAGATGAGAACTCAATTAAGCTCACTCTCAATAAATCACTCCACACAACCCAATTATATAATGTATGAAATGCTAAAAGCTTAATAGGTGATGTGTGTGTGATCAATGAACAATAATAAAACTAAACTCAATATAAAATCTAACTTAATAAAAAGATAATCAATAACAAATATATATAAACCTAGAAATCGAGTTTAGTGAAACTTCTCTGAATACAAGAGTGAGAGAGATGAGAGATTGAAGCCCAAAAATGAAAATATCGATCTCCTCCTCTTGTGAAAACTTCTTCACATAAACAACTTGAAAAACACTTGAAAACTCTTAAACAAATTTACTCAAAACTTGATTTTTGTTTTTCTTAATTACTTGCAGAAGTTTGAGGGTAAGGGGTATATATAGGTTCATAAAACAAAGCCCAAAAATCAAGAAAATCCAAGGAAAAAGATAAAAACCCAAAAAATCAGCAAAGCTAGAAAACTAGCCGTTACAGTGCCATCAGTCAACTGATGGTACTGTTTAGTCGAGTGATGAGCTAACCGTTGGAGGCCGCTCATCCTTTATCGGTCGACTGATGACCTGCTTCGATCGACTGATAGTTCATTAGTCGACTGAGTAAAAACTTTTCTACTTTTCTAGTGCGTTTCTTCGGTCGACTAATGATCCTCATTAGTCGACTGATAACGTGCACATGGAATTTTATGAACAGTAAAATTGAACTTTGAACCCCTTTAAAAATTAGCAAATAAATTTGAAAAATATAAAATTTAGAAAAATGTTTATAAACATGAAAATGAACATGTTAGAAAAAGAATTTCTCAATTTGCATTTTCCATTTGTGAAAACTCATTTATTTTGCAAACTGTTAAACAATACGAAATTGTCAAAACTTGATTTTGATAAAATCAATACAAACAAGTTTTGAAACACTTTTTAATAGATTGATAGACTTGAGAAAATATATAAAATACTATAAACAATTTTTTAATCTATAAACACATTATTTTCCAAATAAAGATGATAAGTATGAAACTAGCATGTATGTTTGTAAATGTAACTATTTATTTTATATTTATTTGATTTAACTTGAAAGCGATAAACCGAAAACATGTATGTGTGTAATATTTGAGCTTTAAGAATAAACACACGAAGTATAAAATCTAAACTAGAAACAATATACCCAAGCTAAGAGATCTTCGATATACTTGTCTTTGTTGCGGATGAAGCTTGAACTTGTACTTGACTTAAAATACAAATCTTCATTCCGATATTCCTTCCATCCTCCAATGGATATGATCGTGTATGCGCAAGTCCATCTAACATCCAGCAGGAGAATCTTGTGTAGAGTTCCTAACAAGCAAATACAAAACACTCGACAAATCGATGTTAGGAATTGTTTGTTAATCATCAAAACTAGATTAGATAGTAGGCTCATAAATATGAGACCTAATAGCATGGTGTCAGCACGTCCTTGGTCACTTCAAACCAATTGGGGCAGGAGAGGACGTCGTCGACGCTGAAGACCCACACGAACCACTCCTTCGAGTCCATGTTCAATTCAGGAGCGTCTGAGATAAGCTTGCAACCCCCGCTGTAGTGGTAGAAGAAGTGGGGGTCCCTCCTCGTCGACTTGACCCCGACCAGATGCCATAAGAGGCGCATGCTTGGCACGACACTGACCTGGTGGCAAATTAAGATGAAGCCCACTAGAACTCCAATTGCATTCAGGGTGAACTAAGAGGGAGAAACCCCCAGAGCAACGCATACATCCCTAATGAAGGGATGAAGTGGCAGCCGGAGCCCATACTCGAGATGGGTGAGATACAACAACACTTTATTTTGGCCATAGCGGTACACCGGCTCGTCCCCACTTGGCACTGAAAGCGTAAAAGCCCTCGAATATCATAAAGCTTGTGGTACTACTCGAGCTCTCCGATGATGACCTTCTAGCGTATCAGTTGAAGAAGAGTAATTCTCTCCTCATTACGGTTGGTAGTGGAGGTCCGAGAAGCCATCTGAAGATTTGGAGTAAAGGATTTGAGAAAGTTGAGAGAGACAAGCGTCGAAAATGCAAGCCTAGAGGAGAGTACATAGGATTGTATAATTTTTTGACTAACTCAGAATAGGCATGGAAAGAAAATAAGCAAAAAAACTAAAAATAAACCAACAAAGGAGCACACGAGATTTTTATAGTAGTTCGGATCAAAATCTTATGTCCACTCTTCCTTCTCATGGAGAACCTTCTTCACTATGACCGGAGTTCACCCAAATTACAAGCCGATTTGATCGGCTTCACAGATCGCACTATGGAATCTATCCAAAACCAATCATCTAACTAAACTCTTCACAATAACAAGAAGAAACCTAACCCTAGCTAGCTAAGCCCTCAATTAATCTAGCTTGAGTACACTAACCCTCAATTACCCCAGCTTGAGTACACCGTCAAACCTACAAGTTTAAGATAAAATCAATCCAAAATAAATAACGAATAAAAAGAATAATCTTATAGCCCTTTATCAAACCGGTCTTCAAACTAATGTAGATGAAGATGTGTGAAGAAGCGGTGTAGCGATGTAAGCGTAGGACACTCATTCTCGCTAAATCAAACTCCAATGAAAAGCATGCCAAGAAGAATTTGAATGAGGCTTAAGGGGATTAGATCAATTCTCTCTCTCAAACCCTAAAAAAAGGATCTCTCTTTTGTTTATGCAATTCCCCCCCACTCTCTCTCTCTTCTTATTGTCTTGTTCTCTTCCTTAATTAAGATCTCCAGCTCTCTTTAGATAGGCATTGATAGGACAAGAAAGAGACACCCAAATCTGAGTGCGAACAGGAGATCAAAAGATTCAAAGAACCGTTGAGATTAAATCTCAAAAACTTGCCAAAACTGCCAATATGCCTCATAGACGTTGATGGTAAGTCACGATCAACGATGGGCCATTGAAGTTCATTGATAGTTGACTACAGTCTATCGGTTGTGCAAATTCTAGTTTTTGGATTTCATCGATTGTAGACTATTATCCATCGATGGGCCTCTGATCATCGATGGTTGACTATAGCCCATCGATGGTGTTTTTGTTTTCTCCGATTATTTTCTATAGTCCATCGATGAGTTGCTTGACCATAGATACGACCTCTTGACCATCGATGGTTCAAAAGCTAAAATCAATATTCATATTGATTTTTACATTGCTTTAAACCGCAACTTGTTTGTACCTGTTTATACCTAAAATATATCATCTCACAAACATATCAAGCTCTTTGAAGTGGAATAGTTCTTTTTGGTTCATGCACTATTTCATTTTTTGCTTAAAGAGACGTGTTTAATTTGTGCCTCTTAGATATAAGTTGTACTTTGTGAATATGTGCAAATTTTATATGTGCCTCTTAGATATAAGTTGTACTTTGTGAATATGCACTATTTTGGCTGGAGACACGAACACATAGGAAAAAATAATTCGAGGCAAAACATTCTCTCTCTCTCTCTCTCTGCAATGGCCTGCTCATCTCCTCTTCAGCCCCGCCTCCTCTCCTCCTTCCTTGGCGACCGCCGCCTCATGCAGTCCCCTAATCCTCTTCTCTCCTGCAAACGAGGTATATACCTCTTTCTTCTTGACCACTTATTTCCATACAATACAATTGTTTGTTTGTTTTTTTTGGGGGGGACTACCCATTTGAGATTTCAATTTGTTTTTGCGGTTATGATTTCAAATTAGGGAGCCCAGTTACTCTCCTTGTTGCAATAACCAATGTTGGGCACCTTGGAACTCTTCCCCCCCACCATTTAATTCATTATTTCAGTTGTTTTTTTTCTGGGTTTTTTGAAGCGCTTATTTCAGGTTTAAATTGCGAATTAGAGAACCAATTAAGCCCATTTCTTGAAAACACATGTTTTGGCGTAGGGTGATCAATCTTGGGAACCTACTAAACCAATATTCTGAGCTAAACCGGGTAGAGTTAATTTCTAACTGAAGCCCTCCAGCTTCATCCGATGTTGGATTAGCCCCTATCAGGTGGTGATTGGATCTCATAGGGGCAAATGTTTGTATAGAGTTCACTTGAATGCCTACATGGACTGACATTAATGAGTAAAGAGTAGAGGGGGCTTGGACTAATGGGGAAGGCCTGCAGGGTTTGTCATAGGAATGGATGAATTTAATTGTGTTTGTATTAACTATGTTGGATTTCCCCCCCATATGGACCATGAAAATTTAGTGGATGCGGGGATTAGGTTTCTGGAGATTTCTCTAAGGTCCAGATGGTTCTTGCAATGAGATGTAGGCTGAAGATGATAGCGTCTAGCGTGAAGCTAGACTACTTGTAATGCGATAAGGCACAAAAGGAAAGGGCAAAATTGTAGGTAAACCATCTTCATCTATACCTTCAGTAACACCTATCACCTATGGATTGACTTTTGAAGAGGATAAATTGCAAATAATCCCCTCTTTCCATGCGTTGAAGGGTCACAAAAACATCTGGGTGATAAGTGCTACTGAAGGTATAGATGGTTGGGTTTATTTGTAATTTTACATATAGTCCAAGGATTAAGGTTAGACTCTTGAGTCTTGTGTAACTGTTCATTAATGTATTAAGTTATTAAAATAATACTTACTGATTACCTATCCTAGTAATTTATGCTCAAATTACCTTGTTACCTATTTTTCTTAAGACCATGTCTCAGAATTTTTGAGGTCTCTGTATATCTCTTAGTGGTAAGCTGGTTCATTCCTCCCAGTTGCCTATAGTTCTATCAGTTTCAGGAGGATTTCCCCTTGCAAAGGTATGTAAAAGTTATTTTAAGATAGAATGGCTCCAGGTGGAAATATCTTCAGAACTCATTGATTGCCACCTAAGGTCTAACTTAGTTTCTATATCCTAGTTCGTTGTTATTACCTATAGCATGGGTATGACATATCAATTGAAGCCTGAAGGTTTGCAAAGATTTCTTTTTAATTAAAATTCCTGGACCTAGTCAATTTACGGAAACTAAAGTACATCAGTACATGTTGCCTCAAGAGACTAGAAGAATAAAAGTAAGAGGGAAGATAAAAGGTGCTGGAACCAGGCGTAAGTCACCTCTTCTCACTCATTTCATGCACCTGAATACTATTTCTACCGTGCAAATAAATCTTCAATAAAACCAGTAAGAAACTTTCCCTTCTCCTTGAGTATTTACAGTTCCTTCTTGGTTCTTTCTATTACACTTTAGGTGAAGGTTTGTGTTTTTACTTCCATCTCTGCAATGAAGGGTTCTAAAGAAAGGTAGCACTGTAGCGTCTCTGTTTTAGTGGAATTTATGGTGGAATTTATGCGATACTGACAAACTTATGTGCCACAATATGAAACTTGGAAAAAGGTAACTGAGAGAATACTAAGAAAGGAAATAAATGCATATGAGAACCAATTTGAGTTTATGCCTGTAAGGTTAACTATGAAACATATTAATACATCAATACAGTTGATGGAGAGATATAGGGACCAGATAAAGGACATACATATACTTTTCATTGATATAGAAAAGGCTTATGATAGAGTACCTAGGGAGGTAATGTTTGGGTTTTTGAGAAGAAACATGTATTTCGTGTGTATATTGATGCAATTAAAGACATGTGTATGGTAACAACTAGGTGAGAATGAATGAAGGAGAGACAAAGCTTCAAACTACCTTAGGTTTATATTAAGGATCAACTTTAATCCCTTGCCTTTTTCCATTAGTTATGGACCAATTCACTAGAAATATTCAAGACAAAGTCATATGATGTATGATATCTACTGATGATAATAATATTAGTTGATAAGAGTAGGAAATGATCATTTCTAAGTAGAAAGTGGAGAAAAGTTCTCGAACCTGAAGGAAGGTGAGATTGGGGATGATGTGATTCATGTATCAAATTAAAATGATTAAAACGGGGAGTGTTTTTGGAGTCTTTTGCGACCATAAATACCTATAAGTTTGAGGGGAAAATATATATAAGACAACAATCAGACCAACAATACTTCATGAATTCACATGTTGGGAAACTAAAAGGCAACACGTGCAGAAAATTATAGTAGAGATATAAATGGTACAACGGTCTCGTGAATATACTTAGAGTTAGGACAATAAATGAGTGCACTCATAGGAGGTTAGAAGTTGCTCCCAATGAGGATTGATAAGAAAGAATCGATTGAGATGGTTTTGTCATGTACAATGGAAGTCATTAAATGCACCAGTCAGGAGGAGGTCTAAGATTATAGTTAATAGGCAAAAAGAACTAGGTTGAAAGTGGTCAAGAATGATATGATAACAATTAACCATGGAGACAACCAATAATAAAGTTGAAATAAAGAAAAAGAATAGGGGGTTTCTTGTTGTTTTTTCTCTACCTGTACTATGGGTATATTTGCGGAAAGAAAAGATATGATGAGGACTTTTAGGACTTCAATGTGTTGCTAGAAAAAAATGTCTGGTTTTAGTAATGCTTCAAAGTTAATTCAAGGGTGCTACAAGAAAGCATCTAATTAGGCTGAAGTTGCAATGTCTTAGTAATTTTCTTACTATGGATCGTAGCTAAAGGATTGAATAGTTATATACCGAATGGATGCTTTGTTTCTTTTGTATAGGTGAGGAATTTTGGACTTCAATGAGGTTAAAGGGTTGGTCATATACAGACTAAGTGGTGTTTGGTACAATAATAAACTTTTATGGAGGGGAGACCAGGGTCCAAATAATGAAAGAGGGACCTAGGTTGAACTTGTTTTCCACAAAAGCAATGGCATCTAACAATAAGAATGAAAGTTTAATTTTAAGAACTGGGATTTACCTTATTCATATGATAGTCTGGCACCCTATAGATCCAATTCAGGCTGTTGGGAAATGCAGGGGAAGGAACATGGTCGATGGTGTAAAATAATGATATCAGAAAATACAAGATGAAATATTAACTAGGGTATTAGTAATAACTATAACTAAAAAGAATAATAGAAGAACAACAACCATAGCAACAATAACAATAGCATTAGTCATGGTAGTGATACCTAAGGCAATAGTATTTATAGTAATAATTACAAAAGCTAATAGCAAGAAAAGTAATACACTAATTGAAAGAAAATATTTTTGATAGATGGGTAATTAGCCAAGAAAATGTTAAACAAATTGAAAGAATAAATATACCAACTGAATTTAAATAAAACAATGTTTAAGAATCCTTGAACAATATATCACTAGTTATGTCTGTTTACGTTAGAAAGGAACTAAATCGATATAATAAAGTGGCTTCAGTTGTATATAAATGATATGATATATAGATAGATTATGTAAATAGATTGTGCATAAAGTGGCTTCATTGTCGACTAGAAATGGAGATAAATTATAGCCTTTAACATTCTAGTCCTGATTTGGAGATATAATGGCTTCAGACTTCAGTTGCAGAGTGGAAATGCAAATCCTTGTCTTCAGTATTCCAGCCTGATTTGACTTTACACTTTCTAGATCCATAGCGAAAGCTGATATTATTTCAAATTGAACTTCCTTGTTTCAGACAAATCCCATGCAGAATTCATATTTCTTTGTTTTTGCAGGAAATAAAAATGAAGCTATGCAACTAACAAGAACATTGTGCAGTCTTGTTGATCTCTTATTCAATAAAAGGTGTGCTTCATATTTACCATTGAGCCTATCTATTTTGATTTTTTTCTCTGAACCACTCTCCTTCTCTCAATAAACAAGAGAAAAACTTTCAGTCGTTTAAATCAGTCCATCCAAAAGATTTTTATGTCTATTTGAGTGTGTATTTTGATACCCATCTATCTGAATTTAATATTGCTGATGTGATTAGAGGAATATGACTCATATATAGAGGAAAGGTAAAAAGAATAAGTCACTTGAGATGATTCATAATAATAATTAGAACACGACAGAGTGGAAAATTGATTTTCAGTTTATGAATGTGTTGAACCATCTTTTAAGAACACAAAGATTAAATTGATAAAGAGTACATAAGAACATTTCATGACTCTCAATTCATTGATTTCACATAATCAGGAACCAAGATGAGCTGTCGAAAGTTAAACGCAAGCGGCTGCGACCTGGAAAAGTATCTCCTCGCCTCAAAGTTCCAGATCATATAGTAAAGCCTCCATATGTTAATTCTCGCCAATCACCTGGAATTGCCAGTGGACCTGAAATTCATGATGTGGGAGGAGTAGAATGCATGCGTGCATCCGGAAAACTCGCAGCACGAGTTTTAGAGCATGCTGGAACACTGGTTAAGGTGAATCGAATTTTTTTTTCTTGCTAGAAGTTATGTTATACTTTATAGAATTGTTATTGTCTTGTGGATATTAATTTTTTTTGGGATCATCAAATCCTGAAAGTTACTTCCGAATCCTACAAAATTGCTCGCGGATACCCTTTACTTAGTCAGAGTACGCTGCCTTAAATTTGTGTGACTTCTCATTTAAGCACATTCTGTTAGGTATCATTCTTTATGCCACTGACCCACCTATTGTACTTTTTTTATTATGTATTCTTTTAAAAACTTAAAATATGCACTGGACAGATCACCAACTATTCTGATAATGAGCACATGTTTTGACTGGACCAATATGTTTTAAGTTCTATATGATTTGACACTTCTATTACTTGAACAAGTAATGACTATTTTTATTTTACTAAAATAGGCGTGGGAGTTATCCTTAAGATGTGTGGACGTAATAGTGCCTTGTTTTCATTCTCTATCTGTATGAACTCAGGGATAAAGAACTGAACCACTCTTCAAGCTCTAAACCTAGGAAAGCTTTAATTTTTTTTTTAACCGAAGAGATATTTATTTACTATCACCAGTCATAAGCATGCCTGTTCACATCGAATGAGAATTTCATGAACATAGTGGTCATTCTGAGAGCTTCATGATTTTGGTTGGCAGCCAGGCATAAAAACCGATGAAATTGATAAAGCAGTTCATCAAATGATTATCGATAATGGAGCATATCCCTCGCCTCTTGGCTATGGTGGCTTTCCAAAGAGCGTGTGTACATCAGTAAATGAATGCATTTGCCATGGAATACCTGATTCAAGAGAACTTGAGGTGAACTTTCACTGGAACTTTTTTTCCTTTATTATTATTATTAGTTTTTTCCTTATCATTTTCCTGTTGATGCTTTAACTTTATTCTATATACCCTTTGCAGGATGGTGATATCATCAATATCGATGTTACAGTCTACTTGAATGTAAGTACATCAATCTCACAGCAATATCTAGGAACATCATTAATTGCTATAGCGCAATTTGCTAGTCACTAGGTGTCTTTTTTGACGCGATATCTAATTAATCGATCTAGATTTATATTGCAACCAATATGTACTTTCTTAATAGGCAGCATGTTTCCTAAATTTAAAATTTGAATTTAAATTTTAGAAACCTGTGTACACTTGTAGGAAGGGGCCCAGAAGTTTGTCTGAGGATCATGAAGTTTGTTCAAATAGTAAGAAGTAAGGACGCATGATCTTAAGTGTGTAGAAACTTGGTGTGCATGATCTAGATTCTAAACACTGTAGAGCAAATGCCAAGCGGTTTGAAGTTCTCTTGCATATACAGTTTGCAATCTTAAATTGACTCATCTTTGCGGTCTTAAAAGCCAGATCATTTTTTTCATGTTGATATTTATGTCAGAAGATCCATTGAATTTTGATCAATATGGATTTTATATGGTGTTTACATGACACAGAGTTGTTCACAGCACGAATCTGGATGGCCTACATGGTACAACACATGGTTTACTATAGAATTTCAATATTCACATACAACATAAAGACTCACCCAAATGGTTCACAGAGGGTCTATAGTTCATTAGAGCCAATCTAATGTGTGATGAGTTCCATTATCTTTTGCTCTCTCGAAAAACACATATACACATACTAATACAAACCCAATAATTGAAATGTGATGATAACCCTTACCATAAATTAGAACTTCAATGATATATATTTGAAATTCAAGTTCTTGCCCGAAAGTGAAGAAAATAATTCCAGTGACACCCCTTGCTTTCTTTTCTATTTTTTTTGTTTTTGTTTTTGTTTTTGCTTTTTTTTTTGGATGGGGGGTGGGGACAGAAAAGCATGACATAAAACATGTATATGAATGTTAAAGACTTTTGAGAGACCTTAAGTAAAATTCAGCACAGGTAGCTTCTAGTTTCAAAACTACCTCTAGTGTCATTTATTCTAACACAATGGGCATAATAGAATATGCCTCGAATAGAGCATCTGTACTTGGTACTAAACACAGAGTATTGCATTTATCCTTTGGAACAGTCTTTCTTCTTAAGAAGTATATGAAAAGTATAAGAAAAATACTTCTTAGCGTGAATATCATACTATGGTTGTATTTTATTGCTGAAAAAAAGGTATCTTATTCATATATAGCCTATCCTTTTGTACATAACTGAAAGAAGAAAGATATCTATCACATTAAAGGCTGCATACTCTTATGTTTAACGCATATTTACTGTAATACTCCTTTTTCATTTCTGTTTCACCTAATGCAAGTTATTATGCACATTCCATGACAGCGATTGTGGTTTAGGAAATTTTGGAAGGTCACAAAGCCCTGTAATCTTTAACAAATATCCATAAAATGAATCTTTGCAGCATTGTCACAATGATGAACTCAAGGATTGATAATAACTGAACATTTTTGAGGGAGGCACGCTAGATATGTTTGTAGTTAGGCTCGGGTAGGAAGAATACATGGATGACCTGTCAAGAAGTCCTTGCTCAGATTGTTAGCATTGTAGTTGACCCAAAATTAGTTTAAAGGTTTTGCCTTTGCTATGTTTAAGCTGTGTAGTAAATCCCAAATTTCACTAGAAGGGTATATGGAAAGATAGGCACATTTAATAGTTCACTTTCTATAACTCTTAATCTGTTTTGTATTAAAAAAAATTTAACATTTTGTTTTCCATATAAATTTTGCCTTTGTAAAATTTCACATGATTATTGAAATGTTCATTTTGATGTCTAGGGTTATCATGGTGATACATCTGCAACTTTCCTTTGCGGTAATGTTGATGATGAGGCTAAGAAGCTAGTTGAGGTAAGACTATGAAGTAGACTTTCCTAACTAATCCAGTTTTAGAACAGTTATGTTAATAAATATGCCTATTTCAAATAAATTAGATTTATCTTGCTAGACATTTAAAAACAATATAATTCAAAATGGAAAATTTCCCTTCCCCCCCCCCCCCCCCTCCAGTTGAATGTGCTCATATTTTGGACGTTTTATTAACACTTGTCACCTTAATGTAGTGTATACTCTATATACCCAATGCGGTGAAATAGTTGCCAGTGACATATAAAGAACAGATGCTTGTATTCATTGTTGAAATATGAACTTTTTCTCACATAATAGCATCCCATGGAGATGAGTAGATGGCTAATTACTTGAACATCTGGGGTTACTTGTTAATTGAACTGAGTAATAATAGAAATTTAAATTTAGGCAAAGGAAGCTACATATCCATGTTTCAACTCAGCTACAACATCCACATGTACATCTTTGCTTTGCTTTGGAATATAGTTGAGATATCCTTGCTACGTCATCCAAGCTATCTGGCAAATAGGTATAATAACCTAATCTTAACAAAGGCTGATTACGGTGTTGCTTATTTAAAAAAAATGAAGTCAGTCACTCTAGTATGTATTTGAGAAAGGGGTGAACTACACTTGCTGTGTCTATAGATTCAAACAATGAGTGTGTTGATGAGCGGTTATGTATTTCTTTAATAGTTACTTTATTTTTTATTTATTGCCTATTGTTTTATATCACTTTTGGGTGGCCGAGTTGGAGTTATGGTGTGGGTGGTAATGATTGGCATGTTGTTAAACCAGTTTGCTGCCTTCGAGGACTTGGGGTTTAAAGTTAAAAAAAACTAGTAGGGGGATTGCTTATTTATTTATTAACTATTTTTATTGAGAGGGGATAAATTTAATTTTCTATAATACTAATTACTTGGTGAGTATAAACCTATTAATAAAGAGAGAAGCCCATGGAAAAACATGCCACGGGCCCATATACATATAAGCCATATAGGAACTACCAACATATAAGCCATATAGGAGCCACCAAGGAACAAACACCAAGAAACAGATCACCTAGAGATGGTCTTCATGCAACTACTGATTGCTTTTATGCTTGTGACCTTCTAACTGTTACCATATTTCCTTGGTCACTTGGTGTACATTACTTCATATGTTAAGTTCCAACATGCAGTTTGACTATGCTGTCTCCTTTTTGACTGTGGGATTTTCGCGGGTGCTTGGACATTCATTTAGTAACTGTGCTGAAGAATCCTGAAGAGTTTGATGGAGTTGTTTTCTCCTGCATCAAGGGCACATATGAAACTCTTCTTTGAAGAATTCACTGGCAGAAGAGTTCTGAAGGGTGGGAGTAAATTAAGGAAATAGCTAAAAAAAGATTAGATTTGTGTAGCACTGTTTGGTTGACCATGACTCTTCCTCAGGAGTCAAATAAAAAGCTGCAAAGTCAACACTATTTTTGCGGCCTGATGGTATAGTTGCTGAACTGCAAAGTTCAAAGTTTTAACTTGTACTCTTATTTTCCAATCTGCCTTTTGTATCAATTTAACCACTTTGCCCCTACTTATCGCATCAACTCTGATGTTATGAATAACTCAAAGGTAAAAAATAAGGGGAAAAGCTTCACTCGGTTACGGTTTACATTTTATTTTTTACTAGTTTCATAGTCTTACGAGTGTATGATTTTTTACATTAGCGTCTCTTAACTTGCTTTCTATTACCATATCTTCTTTAAAGATGTACAACAGTTGGAACGCTTCTACTTGCATCCTGATTTTAACTGAGACATGATCTTGGCCAGAAACTCACATTGTTGTAGTTATTTTCTGTGATATATTGTTTTCTAATCACATCAATGAAAGTGACACTTAAAGATCATTATCCAGGTAACAAAAGAATGCTTGCACAAGGCAATCTCTATATGTGCACCAGGAGTGGAATTCAACAGAATTGGCAAAACGATTCAGTATGCTTTCTCAATATACCTCAATTGTAACAATAATATAAGATGATGCATCCAGAGGAGGTTTAAAATTATGCCTACTACGTAGTACGTGCATGACTTGACTACATTAATGGAAAATCTGCACATTGTTCTTCTGATTATTCATATGGAACTCATGGCCTGATGCTATATTAGTTGATGTGTATCTACCATAGTATATAAGAGCACTTCCCCCTTAACTGGGTTAGATATGGAGTGATGATTTAAGTACAATTAACCAAAATTTTCTCATTTACATTGCATCAACCTCTTTGAACAAACATTTTTGAATGAGAAAACTAGGAGTAAGGATTGTGCTTGCAACTAAATCCTCTGGCCAGTTCGGGTTTTGGAGCATATGACACCGGTTAGATAGTAAACAGACGCAAATAAAAAAAATCAGACACAATGTGATGCAGATATGTGGATATGGAAAATCTTAATAACTCTTGACCCATATAAAGTGTAGGGCATCAATATGGCTATATTCAAGCTTTCAATGTTTAAATAGAAGATAAAGAGCCATTTATCTTCAGGAAAAAAAAAGAATTCAATCAAGTAACTTGGGTATGATTGTGATTTATAATGAACTTATAGAGTTACATGGCTTTTGAACTTTATCAAATTGAGTTTATAGATGCATAGTAAACATTGTATTTGTACCACGTGCACACGTTCAGACACATGCACAAGCACGCACGTCCACGAACGCACGCACACACACACCCATGTCCATTCCTACATGCATGCACATGCCTACACCCACACATGCACATGTGCACATGCACACACTCATGTACGCATCTGCCAGTGCACGTGTGCACCTCCATCCTGCATGCACACATCCCATCCCAATACCTCAAGCACACATTTTCTCATGCTTATGCCACCTCTGTAGTGGGTCTTCCCAACTTTTTGTAGAGATAAGATGGGTTGTGAGCTTCCTCTTAAGATGCCTTCTTTAGTTTTTACACTTGGATTGAGAGCTACGAAAGCCATCATTGTTTTCCATCCAGTGCATCCAAAATAGAGTTGTATCTCCTGTATTGAAGCTCAGTTCACGGAAAGCAAGGGTGTGCATTTATTCCTTAGTTTAAAATTTTCTCATGAAATTTTTTTTGTGAATAACCTCATTAGTGATTTGATTGGTTTGAGACCGTTCTTTCATCCTCATAAAATACTCTTGGCCAGTTGCATCTGGAAGCCTTTTTATTTTTCTTGGATATGCCTCTGAAAGAAAATGGTCATATCTCTCTTCTTCAGATTTGGGCATGACGAAGGATGTAGAGAATTATATGTGGAGAACATGGTGCTAAATCATTCTAAAGTATTGTTCCCTGATAGTGTAAAATAACATCTTTTTCACAAATGCTACATGAATTTTGGAAATTGCTTTAGTTCAGGGATGCTCTTATTCACAGGTTTTGATTGAATTTCTATCTGAAAAGCCACTTCCCATGATTGGTGTTATCTTGAGTGGTGTCCCATCTGAAATCCTGATTGAGTATAAAGTACCAAGGTGTAATAAATGTGCCAGCAAGGCTAATGCCAGGGAAGTGGATCCCTATGATTACGAAAGACCGTAAACTACTCAGAGCTAGAGGCACTGAAAAGGGGAAGAACTTTCGAAAACTCAGATAAGAAGTAAGCGTGTTTTCTTCTAGGAGGAGAAAGTACATAATTTGCTTTGAATGAACAGAGCTCCTGTGGTAAACTCAGATAAGAAGTAAGCGTGTTTTCTTCTAGGAGGAGAAAGTACATGATTTGCTTTGAATGAACAGAGCTCCTGTGGTAGTGGGGAAATCTTTGAATAAGGAAACGTATATTCCTGCAGAGGTGGGGGCTTTAACAAAAATAGGTTAGTCAAGGAATAGGAGATAGAAGCTGCTCCTACTTCGACTTAGATTAGCCTGAAGAAAGCACTAGTTATAGACAGGTACAGAGGATCCGATTTACTTTCGGAGGACCTTTATTTGATAAACCGAAGAAAGAAGCTACTTGAAGAAATGAGTTGATATTCTTTACAAAAAAAAAACCCATAAGAAAGGAGAGTTGATACAGTTGAAGCAATAAAAAGACAATTTGCAGACTAGGAGTCTGCAACATTATGATAAAATAGTTTTACTTTAGTCTAATATTTGTGTTAGTTGCATATAGTCATAAATCCTTTAAGACCTGATTGTGTGATTTATTCTTTACACTTATCTTGTACTTCTATTATGAATGATAAAACTATAAAAGCATGTAATGTTTGATACACGTCTGATTCCCTTGTATATTTGGTTTTAACTCTGCCCGTCCCCAGTGGATAGAGGTAATTGCCCTGCTCCAGCTTAAGACAATTAAATGGAACTGTTTATAGTACTTCTAAGTTCTAGCACACTATTTCTCTGCAAAGTTTCGTGTTAAATGTTAATACCGAGTGGCTTACAACTTACAGCCATCTTAGCCTATACTTCCTATAAATATGAACATGAAACTCTCGCAATGATGGCACTTGTGACACTAAAACCATTTCTTGCATACTTTTTTTTACATGTTTATTGTGAGTAATTGTTGATGTCTTGGATGTTGTCTTGGATATTGTACTTAACAACTTGAGTTTTATCAAGGAATCATGCAGATAAATTTCGATTTGGTGTAGTTCAAGAATTTGTTGGTCATGGTGTGGGACGTGTCTTTCATTCAGATCCTGTTATTCTTCATTACAGTAAGTATTCCCAGCTCAATATTTGGTGCATCAGTCCCATTTTTTGTTTATGCTTTCAATTTGTGAACAACAGTAGATCTGTAGAAGTCGACCAGATACTATGGAGTTGTGTGTTTCCTGTTAACATTAATTTAATTTTTACTAACTTCCAGTTCTTTGCAAACTATTACGCTCAGCTGTTTATGAGCTTTTAACTTGTGCTAGTTCTGTTTGGGTTCTCCTTTAAAGATCTTCCTGTTCTTCTTATATTTATTTAAATAGTTTTGCAAATGCCTTCACTCTACCTATGAAGTTAACAAATGCAGATGAATCATCTAATCAGAGTAATTGCATGATGTCCATGCTCTCTGGCACAGCTCTCCCACTTGGGGCGAGACTATCTGATGTATAAACTTCAATTTGAACCAAAGTTGAGCTATCCAATCATCCAATTGAGGGACAAATGGTTGATTGGAGAAGATATTAGCTTATTGAGTTATTTCTATTTTTATTGCCTTGCTATCAAAAAAGTGCAAATATGTACTCTATACTTCCAGTATTTTGTTTTATATATATAATTTTAGAAAAGTTGAGCTATCCAATCATCCTCTTTTTGCATTCTTTGGTTAATGGTTTTCATATGATCTGAAAGTAGTCTGACGACTTTTCTCTCTAATCGTAATCATAGTGCACAGTCACAACTATGTATTCCTTCGAATATAACTTCTACCTTTTTCATATGTTGCAGGAAATAATGAACACGGACGCATGTTGTTGGGTCAAACATTCACAATAGGTAGGTTCTCTGATACTTAGCATTTTGTACTATAACATGTATGTCCAGACTATTATTAATTAGGATATTGAATTTTGATTCGCATGCAGGTGAAAGCGTATAAGAAAATGAGAAATTTGTTCATAGATTAATCAAGTTTGATCTCCCATATTTAAATAATTACATTACCTTACCTATTTATCTTAATTGGTTTTATATTTGTCATATCACATGGCATATTACATTATCCAGTTAAAGGAACCAGTACAAACTTAACATCGCTCATTCGCACTCGAAAACAGTTGTAAATCATTTTCAATTTCTTATGAGGGTTTAGATATTGTCCTTCAGTTGGTGAATTTTGATTGGATTTGATGTAAGACGATGATGTCGGGTATAGGGAAGCTGAAAAATCAGGTTTAATAGCAAGAAAGGCGTACTGCTGTTTTCAAGAATAATAAAGAAGGTATTGCCGCCTATTGTTGCATTCCCGCAACCAAGGACAGTAAATTTTTTTTGCATGTAAACAGTATTATAATTCTTAAAGTCTTTTCTATTACAGCAAAACTCTGAAGTTATGATATAAGTTAAGGTTACAATTTTATATTTTACGTGCCTACAACCCATATGCTCTTCATTTTTTTCCAAATAAAAAGAGTTATTTTCATACAAAAATATCTCTCTTTAGGTCTGCTTTAGATACGTGACAGATATGATGTGAATTTGAGTTGTGCTGCTAACATCTTGAAGGTTTTATCTACATAAAACTTATAATTATAACGAGTTGAGGGTTATAATTTTATACTCTCTGAATATTCTTTTAAGACTATCTATTAATGCACCACTACTTTTGCAGAACCCATGCTGACAATGGGCAGCACGCACCCAGTGATATGGGCTGATAATTGGACAGCAGTAACGGAAGACGGAAGCTTATCAGCGCAGTTTGAGCATACATTACTCATCACAGAAAATGGAGCAGAAATACTCACCCAGTGTTAAAAGGGAGGGGAAAAAAATCTTCTTCAGAATTTTCATAATTAATTTTATATTATTGTCTTTATTGCACAATGTCAAGGCAATTATTTTATTCTAGTGTAGTAATCTTGTATTTGATACAAGAAAATGAGAATTTTCTGTTTTCCCTTGAGCTTCACCTTGTATATTATTCGTCAAAGATGAAGTATGTCGATTCCTTTGAATATAAAATGCACTGATGAAAGCCACTCAATTAAGGGAAGCCTTATTTCCCAAGTCCTGTTACCTTCAAATCTAATGTTTTTATGTTACAGGAGAATGATAATATTTATGAAAAATATTATTGTGCAATCAAATATTTGTTATCAATTTGATCCGAAAAAAAGAAAAAAAAAAGATTTGTTACCGAAGTAAGATCGATGGCTTTTGACATTATGGAGTGCGAAGTACCTTAGCAACAAAATGCAGGAGCCTGTCTTAACGAAATGAGTGTTAAGAGTTCAATAACTTCAATGATCTTGACTACGAAACTTGTGATGGCCAACATTAATTTTATTTTAGTTAACAGCTTAAGGGGCTAACCACTGATGGCCATCATTAATTTTATTTTAGTTAGCAGCTTAAGGGGAAAACCTCTGAGGCAACTACACTGGACGTGTTAAGGCGACCACACTGGATATGTTATAAACTATTCTCAACCCCGTGTAGTTTAGTAGAGTTCTAAACTATACGGGATTGAGAATCCCGTGTAGTTTAATTTTCTGCTAAATTATATGGGATTCTTAATCCCGTGTATTTTTTTGCACTTATTTATCATTTTCAGCCTAGTTTTAATCACATTTATCTTTGAAGAGGGTAGAAAATGCTAAATAAATTTAAAAAATAGTCAAAAATAAAAATTTATCCTTATTGAGGGTGTTGCGGATATATCACATGTATCTTTAAGGGTTAACCCATTTTCATTCTTGACCTTTGAAACTTGCACGTGCTCCATGGGATTCGAGATGGAGCTCTATACATGTAATTGTCATGTGGATGTTGTTACTACACAAAAATGACTAAATGTTAATCCTCTTCTAAAATATCTGCCGACTGAGCCACCTGCTTCGACTTGGCCAAAGCTACGCAACCGCCCCTCTGGACCTGCTATAAATAGAGGCATTATCTGCTGCACAGAGGTAAGCAATTTCTTGCTATTGAACACATTTTCACCCTACTTTTCTCCACGCAATCACTTGACTGACTTGATCGTTGGAGGAGTCACCAGAGATCCCAAATCTGATCCTCTCACGTGTTGTTTATGTGCAGGAATGGATTATCTACTAAACCAACTATCTAAGAAAGATTAACGAACTCTAATACACTGATAACTTCATAATTAACCTCTGTTTAATAACTGACATCAACAGTTTGGCACCCACCGTAGGACTTCTTTTTCTTCTTTACACAAGATGGTTTGTTCCGATCATCCGGGCCGATCTTCCATTCCATCCATTGAAGAAACGTAGATGGGCTATGTCACTCAAGCACAACTAAAAGAATTTGCCCGAAGAATTTCTCAATATCTTCAGCTACAGTTCATTTCCTTCGCAAACGAACTCCTTAACTGGATTCCTCACCAGCAACCTTCTCCGTCGTTTGTTCCCCCTTCTGCGGGTCAGGCATTCATTCCTCCTCCTCCTCCTATAAGTCATGCTAAGAAACAAACGCATGAGGATTATGCTGAGTACACCTCTCTACCATTTCGCCAGCAGACACATTTTGCCGCTCCTCGACAACCTTAGTAGTATGTGGAGGAGACGGGGGAAAGCCCAGCTTTGGCCATGGCGGCCATGAGCACACTGCATGGACAACATCGTGTGGCCCCCAACACCCTTAAGCTACTAAAGGTCCTTCACCACTAATCTTGTATTTGGTTACGACCAAACATTTAATACTATAGCAAACACAATCGGGGGAACACTCCACTCACTGACTGGATCATGAACGCCCTATGTGCCAAGTTCAAGATAAGATGCCACATATTAAAAAGTATAAAGGCGAGAGGGATCCAACAAGGCATGCACAGAATATTTATGATCTGATGAGCATGTAGCAGGTGACCGAGCCGATCATTTGTAGAGCTTTTTCCTATCATCTTGATAGGAAGCGCTAAGATCTGGTGGAACTCTTTGGACAAAAAGTCCATCCATAGCTTTGAACAGCTCAGGTAAAAATTTGTACATCATTTTTTGGCCGACTCCAAGCAAAAGAAGCCCTCCGATGTCCTACTGCAGATGAGACAAAAACTTGGGGAGAGTCTCATGAACTACTTCAGGAGATTACAAGCCAAAAGGCTGGAAGTTGATGATCATGGTAACATGGTGTCATGGCTGCGATCTCGGTAAGGTTAGAGGATAACAAGCTATTCGACTCACTCATCGTAGATTGTATCACCAACTATGAGTAGCTAATAGTCATAGGTCGAGGATATATGGATGTGGAAGATACCCGATCCTACAAGAATGCTGCCAGAAAAGCCACAACGGTGGCAGAAGACGATGCCTTTCCAAAAGAGAAGATGGAGAATGATCCTCCTAGAGTCGACCCCAAGTCGAGCAGAGCCAACAAGAGAGACTAGAAGAAAGAGGAGGTCAAGAGGCTAGCCCTCACTTCTTTCCACACCACTCTCTCGCAAACTCTCTACTTTGCTAAAAAAGAAGGATTCTTCAATTCCACTCCTTCTCGCATGAAGTCAGATCCTGAGTCAGGGATACCAATCAATACTGCAAGTATCATAGGGATCACATTCATCATATTAATGATTGTAGAGTCCTTTAAAGGGATATCAAAGATTTGGACACATAAGGGGTTTCTAAAGAAACTCATTTCTCAGAGCCCAATGCCTTTTGCTCAATGGGACTGAATTTATTGGGGCCTCTACCAATAGCTTCAGGGCAACAAAAGTTTCTAATAGTTGCATAGACTATTTCACAAAGTGGATAGAATTTGCTAAATTTAGTGAAAGCAACACCACTAATTTTGTATGGAAGTCGATCATCTGTAGATTTGGGATTCCTACTTCTTTCGTCACAGACGATGACAATCAATTCGACAGCAAAGGCTTCTGTAGTTTCTGTGAAGAATGGAAGACACATGTCAAGTTTATTTTAGTTGCACACCCAAGATGCAATGGGCTCGCAGAAGCCGCTAACAAGCGTATACTTCAAGCCCTAAAGAAGAAAGTGGACAAAGCTGTTAGAAGCTGGGTTGAAAAGCTACATGGAATTCTGTGGTCCTACTGAACCACCTATAAAAACTCCATAGCGAAAACCCCATTCAAGCTGACATCTGGAGCCAAAGCAATCATCCAGTAGAAGTCGACATACCAACCATCCGACCATAGCATTTCGACAAAGAGACGAACTCAGCTGGATTATATGTCGGACTCGACCTCATTAATGAAGTTTGAGAAAACTTTCTCATATCTCAAGTCGTCAATCAACAGCGAAAACTTTCTCAGATCTCAAGTCGTCAATCAACAGTTGTTTGTGGGAAAATTTTGTGAGAAAATTGAGAAGTAAATTTGTATTAATCTCCCTAACTGACTTAGAAAAAAAATAAATACAATCTCTCGATGTAACCTCTCCCTAACTGACTTAGAAAAAGAAATTATAATTTTTTCTTATCGGTTTCCCAATTTACAAAAAAAAGATCGACGAAGATCATTCCTTTTGTTTAAACTGGGTTATTCTTAGTGGCAATGGGAGTTTGAATCTTGTATCCTGTTGACGATCCGAGCACCTCGCTTCGTGGAACGTTGTCTATTCCTCTAGACTTGATGTTGGGAAGAACTTGCGATGTAAGTTTTGAACTCTAACGAGTTTAAAAACTCTGAACAAGTTTAAGAACTCTGAACAAGTTTAAGAACTCTATAAAAGAGTTAATTTTAGAAAGGAAATTAATCCCTTTTAAATAGAATTAGAGGACAAACTGATATTCAGTTCTTCAACCCAGAATAGCTCAAGAGCCAAGGCCGAAAAGCTACAAAGCTTCCACAAAATGCTCTAATGGTTTCTCAAGGTTTCCCACCCTTTATCCAGCTGTGAAACCCACTATTTATAGGGGTTTAAGGGGTGTAACCGACCCCTTAAATTTTTTCTTAATGGGGTGTAACCAACCCCTTAAATTGCTTCTTAATAGGGTGTAACCGACCCCTTAAATTGCTCATTAATAGGGTGTAATTGACCCCTTAAATCATACCATAATGGGGGTTTAATGTCCTAATTTCATGGTGTTTTGAACCTGTTTAAAACGTGTTTGAAATGGTCAAACGTGAAGTTCGCGTTCTGAAATGAGATCCGCATCTAGCACATGACACGCGGAGGTGAGCTCTGCATTTTGAACTTAGAACGTGGTGATGAGCTTCGCATTTTGAGCTTGAAATGCAGTGATGAGCTCCATGTTTTATTGTTGAAACGCGGAAATGACCTCCGTGTTTTGTTGTTTAAACGCGGGAATGACCTTCGCGTTTTGTTGTTGAAAACGGAAATGACCTTCGCATTTGGTTGTTGAAACACGGGAATGACCTCCGTGTTTTGTTGTTGTAACGTGTGAATGACCTCTGCATTTGAGATTAGAAATGTGAAGGGGGACTTTCGCGTTCGGCCTTGAAGAGATCGTCAATTGTAATATCTTTTATCAAGTTCTGCATGGATCGTCAGCTTGTAATCCTTATATTTGGTTCTCGAAGAAATGAAGATTCTAGAGCCCACCATATTTCTTCTCTATCTTCACACTGATAAGGATCAGCTATCTGTAATAATTTTTAAACAACCTACAGAACCCCCTCCAAAGTTTTTGAAAGTTCGCGGTTGACTAGAACGAGTTTTCAAAATACTTTGGATCTCGATTTTGATCTTAGAGCTATTAAAGGAGTTGTTCTCTACATCCGCTTTAAAGGCATCTTGGTTGGAAGGATTTGTCACACAAGACCCATGTGAGGGTGAGCACCATGTTTTAGCTCCTGAAACGCAGGGGTGAGCCTCGCGTTTGGCTTCTGAAATGCGGAGGTGGACTTCTGTGTTTTGAAATTGGAACGCGGTTTTGACCCTCGCATTTTTTATTTTGAGACGCGAGGATGACCACTGCATTTTGTAATGGGAACACGAGGCTAACCCTCGCGTTTTGATTTTAAGACACGTGTATGACCCTCACGTTTTGAAATTGGAACGCAGGTCTGACCCTTGCATTTTGATCTTGAAACATGGGGCTGACCCTTGCATTTTGATCTTG